AGCCCACCAAGACGGCCGAAGAGGCCCCCGAGAAGCCCCCAAAGGTCCGAGAGGCTCCTAGGAAGCTCCCAGGAGGCCCCAAGAGTATCCCCAGAGGCTCCCAATATGCCCCCGCCTCCACCTCCTCCTCCTCCTCCTCCTCCTCCTCCTCCTCCTCCTCCCTCCTCCTCCTCCTCCTCCTCCTCCTCCTCCTCCTCCTCCTCCTCAAGATGGCCTCCAAGACGACACTGGAGCACCCCAAGAGGGCCATAAGACGGCCCAGAGAGGCCCCCAAGACGGCTTCCGACGGCGTCAGACGGGCCGGGAGCCCACCAAGACGGCCGAAGAGGCCCCCGAGAAGCCCCCAAAGGTCCGAGAGGCTCCTAGGAAGCTCCCAGGAGGCCCCAAGAGTGCCCCCTCCTCCTCCTCATCCTCCTCCTCCTCCTCCTCCTCCTCCTCCCTCCTCCTCCTCCTCCTCCTCCTCCTCCTCCTCCTCCTCCTGCTCCTCTCTGCTCCTCCTCTCCTCCTCCTCCTCCTCCTCCTCCTCATCCTCCTCCTCCTCCTCCTCCTCCTCCTCCTCCTCCTCCTCTCCTCCTCCTCCTCCTCCTCCTCCGCCTCTTCCTCCTCCTCCTCCTCCTCTTCCTCCTCCTCCTCCTACTCTTTCTCCTCCTCCTCCTCCTCCTCCTCCTCCTCCTCCTCCTCCTCCTCCTCCTCCTCCTCCTCCTCCTCCTCCTCCTCCTCCTCCTCCTCCTCTTCCGCTCAAGCCTTTTCGGCCCTGGCCTTTTCCCCAGGGCTGTCCCAGGACCTCCACGAGGAGCTTGAGGGACTTCCGTACCCCTGTCCATTCTTGTTCAGGTTTTCCGGTTGACTAACGCTGGGACATCATGGGGCGCCATGCGCGCCACGCTCCCGCAGCTGAGGGCGCACCCTGGCGGCAAGTGGTAGGGTCCACCCGCCCATGGAGTCGATGCAAAGGGTGCAACGCATGCGAGTACAATGACCGCCTCAGCCCCACTCATCCAGTCTGCCCCAGGTGCCACAGGCCCATGAAGTTGCACCGCTCTCGTTCACGCAGCCCCAGCGTCGTCCGCTTCGGGTCCGAGGAGGTCATCGAATTCCCCGACCAGGCTGTGAACATCGAGGGCGGTGCCCAGGCAGTCGGCGCCAAGCCGCGAACGACCTCCAACGCCGAGCTGGCCGCTCACTTGCGGCAGGCCATGGCCATCGCCACCGACCCAGCCTTGCAGGCGGTCCTCCACGCCCAGGTGCAGCGGCTGGGCGCTCCCGACGTCGTCGAGGTCCAGGCGAGCGAGGTCGAGGCGATCAGGAAGGCCGACGGCGCGTGGCGGGCAGCCACGAACCATCACAACCAGGTCGTCAGCAATGTCATCAGGCTCCGCAAGGCGCTCGAGGCTGCAGAGTCCAAGGAGCAAGCCGCCGCGCTCGAGGTCGCTCGCACGGAGCAGGCCAAGAGGCGCGCGGCGGAGGCTCTCGCCAGGGCAGAGGGAGTCGGCCGCTGCGACCCGACTTCCCAGGGTGCCCAGGGCGACGGGCCTCAGGAGCCCTTCACGGTCAAGTGGGACCCCGACCTCTTCAAGCAGATCGGCGAGCTCGACTTCACCGAAGCCGAGCAGGCGGAGCTCGACGCCATCAAGAAAGGGCTGGAGGACCTCCAGCAGCAGTTCGCTACCAAAGGACCGCAGGTCACGAGCCTCATCGAAAGGGCTCGCAAGGTCCGCAGCGCCCAGGAGGCCAGGTACGCCAAGAAGCGCAAGGGGGCTGACGGCCAGACCAACGGCGGCACTCCTGGGCAGGCCGACGAGGCAGCCACCCCGCCACGGGGCTCCAGTGGCGTGGCTGGCGCCGAAAGCAGCTCAGCCGATGGCGGCGTGAGCGCCAGCCCCGCCAAGGCCGCGCCTACCAAGGACGCCGACCAGCAGCTGGCGGCCGAGGCCGCCAAGCTCTCGGCCGCTAGGTTTGCAGCCCAGGCCGCCGCCGCCGACGCCACTCGACCAGGAGGAGCTGCCGCAGATCCTGTCGCCAAGGCCAGCGCCAAGGGCAAGGGCAGGCGCAACGGTCGAGCTCACTCCGAGTGACTAGGCACAGCAGGGTCACTATCAGCTGCGGGAACGGCGAGCGTCCCTGCCGCTCACGACGCCGTGGCAGCCACTACCAGTACCAGTGCATCCTCTACTTTGTTCTTTGGGAACATCACATGTGCAGGCCAGAAGACGTTCGACTGGGTCAAGACATCTACGGACGACTTCGTGGCTTTTGTGGAGACACACATCAGTGACGGCAGCGTTGGCAAGTGGAAGGCACGATATCGAGATATCAATCGTCGGCTCTTCGCCAACCCTGCGAGACCTCCTCAGGTTGATCAGGAAGTTGGGAGGCTACACCATTCCACCAGTGAATGTACAGTCGCTCCTGAGCATGCCAATGAGGGAGGAGAGTGGTTTCTTCCCAGAGGGCACCTCCGCGCCCATCCCCTTTTAGAGTGCCTCCAGGCCAAAGGGCTCCAGTGTCTTCCCACCTCCAGCAGCCTCGATGGTTTCCTCCCCGTGGGGATTCACCTCAAGGGGTACTCCATTGTAGCTGTGTTTTTTACGCTTTCTGTAGCATAGGCCTGAGAGGGCCCAATGTCGCCCGCTTTAGGCGTCTCGGGAGCCTCCTCAGGTCCCTCCAGCTCCCATGGTTTGTCGTCGGGGACTGGAACCTCAGCCCTGAAGCCCTCAGTAGGACAGGCTTTCTCCAGCAGGTCCAAGGGGAGATCCTTTGCGCCCCTGTGGAATACACGTACGGCCCTGGCGGCGGACGTAAGCCATCGCATTTGGATCTCGTTGTTCATAGCGCTGCTGCCCGCCCGTACCTGGTCGACGTTTCCGCTGTGCATGACATACCTTGGAAACCTCACATAGGTTTGCGAATTCGGCTCGTTCAAACAGGAGACCAGCTCCTGACTAGAGTTTTCGGCCTGCCTAGGCGGCAGTCGGGCGCACAGAGCCATGCATGTTCTGTTGGAACTGTGATGCTTCTTGTTCGATGAGGTCGGGGCCCCTCCTGAGGAAACGTTGCAGGGGGCGCTTGGAGACGGAGCCTGAGGAGGCTCTCGCCAACACGATCGCGGGAAAGCGCCTCAAATCTGGAGAGTTCGTCCAATTTGGAGCTTGCGGGGCGGGCCTCAAGGGCTGCGCCGAAGCTCTCATGCCGCTTCAGGGCGCTGGCGGGAGTCTCGCTGACGCCTGCACGCCTTGCATGCTTGAATTATCGTCTCCTCTTGCTTCTCCCACACTCCCCGAACGAGTTCCACAACGGCTGGGGGAGCACATCGTCCGATGGCTTGGGCCAAGCTCCGGCCGCGACGTTCGGCCACACAAGCGCGCTTCCGAGGACAAGGGCCGGCGGGGGCTTGTGCTGCTTCGTCGTAGGCGCCTTCGATAAGTGGCACAGTGTTGAGTCAGGTGCACCCTTGGACCCAGGGAGCAGAAAACACGACATGCGTGCACAAGAAGCGAGGAGGGGTGAAGATCCCCTGCTTGAAGGTCCCCCCAAGCGAGGCCAGTACACAACGTCGCGCCCCCTTCGGGGCCAAGGCGATCAGCCGCGGAGCACAGTGTTTCGTCCCTTCTCCAATCTCGAGGTGGCCCTCCAGTCGGGGATGATCGTCGGTTTGCCTTCGTGCGCTCATCGGCTCCCTCGCGGCCTTCCCAGGGCCTCCTGATCCCTCATCATACTTTCGCGTTTGCTACTGCTACTGCTGCTACTGCTAGTGCTGACCCCGCCTGCACCACTACCAAAACAGCCAACACTACTTGTGGTATGACGAATGTTCCTGCTACATCTAGTGGCCATGAACATACGATTGCCTGCATGTTGAACCCCAACGTAATTCGCTACGGAAGTCACTGATCATGCAAATGTTCGGTCGATCGCATCACCTAGTAGCTAAATTGCTTGCTGGCACTGTTGTTCCGACGACTCCCTACTATTACGGCCTCGGCAATCTCCAGCAGTGCTCCTTCCGAGTTCTATATCAACTACAATACTCTGAGTAAGGCTCCGACCACGAGCACGACCATCTTACGACTTACCCCTACCACTACGTGTAGACAGAAAGGGTGTTGTGTAAACGCCGAGGTCCATAGGGTGGGAGTATGAAACTGAGTTGAACCAATGTCAGCTGGTGTTGGTGATGAACGTACATAAGTGAAGCACCTGGCACGAGGTTATCAGCGGAGATATCAGCAGGCAAATGGTGAGGGTGTTGCTGCTGCTGTTGCTGCGACTGCTGCCGGTGAAGATGCTGAAGCTGGTGCGGGGTGCGGTTCTAACGACGGCGGAGGGACATGAGGGCTACGTACGGCGGGTTCGTGCCGTGACGACCCCAGCGTTGGCTTCCGACACAGCATGGAGCCTTCAACCCTGAACGATCGGCGGCTCTTTGATCGCCGGGTCTTTCCGTGTTGGCCGATTTGGGGCCGCTGACGGCCTTCCCAGCCTTGAAGGCCCACGGCAGGGTCGCCGCCGAGTCGGCCCAACGCGAGCCTGATTACCGTAGGCTGTCAATGCCAATGGTGGCCCTGGGGTTAGGTCGGGCCTGTCCCCTACAGGGGGAGTTTGGACGAAAAAAAAAGCCCCAAAATGCAAACAAAAATCGTGCCCTGCCTACCTTTTGACTCTTCTTGAATCTCCCCCCCGTCGAGGGACAGGCCCGACTTAACCGTAGGCTGTCAATGTCGGTGGCAGCCCTGGGGGCCCCAGGGCCACAGGCCCCCAGCTCTCCCGAGGTGCTCGGGGCCCCCGCGGGCCCCTGGAGGCCCGGCACCTCCTCTCCCGACACGAGGGCGGCCGAGCGACGGGCGGCGGGCGAAAAACGGCGGGCGGGCGCGCGAGGGAGGAGGAGGAGGAGGAGGAGGAGGAGGAGGAGGAGGAGGAGGCGGAGGAGGAGGAGGAGGAGGCGGAGGAGGGGGGAGCTTGCGCCCGCGCGGGCCCCGGCGAGAAAGCGGCTTCCGGCAGGCCTGGTAGCACACCTTCTCCTCCACGAAGCAGTGCAGCTCGCCGCCGCCGGGCCTGCGCTGCCCCGCCCGCGCGGCCCCGGCCGCGCAGCGGGGGGCGCTGCACAGCACGGGGGCTGCGCGGCAGGGGAGCAGCCTCCAGGCGAGGACACTTCCGTGGCCCGAGCTCCCAGAGACCACAAACTGGAACTTCGGTCGGCCGATGCTCTCGTTCTTCTCGGCGCCGGTATGAGCTTCACGGGCAGTTGCAGCCAGGGATTCTGATGGCGATGGTCGCGCAGGCGCCGATGAGATGCTCGTCGCGAGGATGGCGATCCACAGAGAGAGGCGGGGACCAAGGCAATGACGAAGGTGGTGGTCCTATTCTTATGGCTGCGGCGTGGCAAGAGCAACGAGGATGGGCGGCGCGCAGAGACGGGATGGCGCGAGGAGGAGATGGCCTTCTCAGAAGGCGGGGGGCTCTCAGAGGCCGCCCCGCCCCATGAGAAGCCCGACGACTCGGGAGCGCCCAGGCCCCCGCCATCGCTCGGACGTCCCTTCCCCGTGATTTTTGTTCGGTTTCGTGCGTGGTTGCTTCGCCACGTGGCCAAGGCTGCTCCTCGATGGCCCTCGCCGAGAAAAAAATGCACACGTCCGAGCGATGCCAGGGGCCCCTCGCCCCGACCTCTGGACCTCGGCGCAGGCGCCCCGCATCGTGCCCCCCGGGGGCGGGGCCCGCAGATCGGAGCAGCCACGGCGCGCCGGCCCCCCGCGGGTGCCAGGGCCGAGCCCCACGCGCTGCGGAGATCGGGGCGTCGGAGGCCTAGGGGCGAACCGATCGAACACGAACACCGCGGGGAGCTCTGTGGGCCACACTGCCTGGAGGTTAAAACAGGGCCAGGGTCGGGATAAATCGCTCCAGAGCGTTCCGGAGCGCTCTCGGAGCGTTCCGGAACGCTCTGGAGCGGCCGCGGCGCCCAATACATCCTCCAAACCCGCCGATTCTCAGAGATTTCGAGTTATCCCGATCCGATTTTGTCCCGATCTTCGCGTCGTTTTAGAGGTTGCCACAAACGACACGTGTCATGGAAGAGACGGGTCCTGAACCCCCGGGGCTTTCTCCAAGACGGGCTCTTCATCAGGAGTCGCTTCCTGATGGCCCCGGGTACTGGGAAAAGGGCCCCAGAAGCCCGAAGACGGCGAAAAACGTCCAGGCCCCCCCTCCAGGACCCCTTCCCCTCGCGCTGGTGGAAGACGAGAGCCAACGAGCCAGCGACTTCGGGAGCGCCGTGGCCGCTGCAGGGCGCTGCAGAGAGCGCCGCGGCCGCCGAAGAGATAGGTCCGCACCTCGATGCTCCCCGGTGAGCTCCCTGTGGCGTGGCGCGGAGCCAGGGGGATGGCAGGCGAGGGGCGCGGCCTTCCCACCTCCTGGCGCGGAATGCCGCGCGAAAGCCTGGTCCGCCTCCTCCGCGGCGATCACACAGCTGAAGTTCTGCCATAAGAGACCAGATCAGGAACGAGCCCTCCCTTTGAGCCTCAGGCCCGCCTGGAATGCACGAGGAGCGCCACAAGAAGAGAGATGGAAGGGACCAAGGAGAACCCCTTCGGGAGCCAAAGTGGACTTTACCCCCAAAACTCTGACTGCTCTTGGTCAGGATGAGGCTGGTGCCTTCGATGTTATGGGAAGAAGAAACGACGGCATAAACATAAACTTTTGGTGCTCCGCGCGGACTCCTGGGATCCGCGCAGGACCCCCCTCCCTGGCGCGCGGAGCGCGCCAGGGGCAGCGCCGGAGGCGCCGCCAGGGGGGCCCGGCGCGGATCCGAGAAGTCCGCGGAGAGCGCCAAAAGCTTATCTGTATGCCGTTTCTCTCGGTCGATGCTATATCAACGGTGTGGACGTTACCCCCCCCCCTCTGGAGATCGGCACGTGTCGCACGCTCGGCGGAGGCGCAGGAGGAGGAGGAGGAGGAGGAGGAGGAGGAGGAGGAGGAGGAGGAGAAGGAGGAGGAGGAGGAGGAGGAGGATGGGCGCAGTTTGTGTTACAGTTTCAGGCCCGGGCTCGGCCCGCGGCCGACCTGCTCGCGCTATGTGTGTGTGTGTGCTTCCACCGCTCGTCGCACGCTGGCAGATGTCACGCGTGCCGCCTGCCTGGCCCCCCCCTTCCAGGATGCAGTTTTTTTGTTACACGATGTGGTTGCTGAGAGGGAGACGACAGACAACAACAACCAATACACATCATCAACAACAACAGCAGCAACAACACTAACAACCACAACACGAATGCCCATAACAGTAACAATCACAACAACAACAACAACAACAACAACAACCGTAACAACAACAACAACAACAACAACAACAACAACAACAACAACAACAACAACAACAACAACAACAACAACAGCAACAGCAACAACAACATCAACCACAACAACAACTACAGCAACAACAACGACGACGACGACAACAACCACAACCACAACCACAACCCCAACCATAAGCTTCACAATACATAACAAAAACAACAGCAACGAACACAACCTTTTAAGACTGTTCGATCTCATCTGCTCCCGTGACACTGAACATGTATATCCGAGCCCCTCGATATCCACCCTCTTCGTCTTCGGTCGTACCCCCCTTGATCGTATCTTCCTTATCTGCCACGTGTTGTTGGCGCAGCCCCTGAAACAGGGGAAGGGAGAGAGGAGGGAAGGGACAAGGGACGGAAAAGGATGGAGCACGAGAGAAAGTACCAGGAGGGGGGTTAGGAGCAGGAAAACAAGCGGCAGAACCAGACGGGCGGGTCGGGTGGGCGGACCCTAATGGGCGGGTCGGGCGGGCGGTCCCAGACGGCCGGGTCGAACGGGCAGGTCGCTGAAGCATCAGTCCTGCATGCATCGCGATGAAGTCTCCAGTGACAGCGCGATTCCCAAGTAAATTGTGAGGACGCCCAAAGCGAGAGCGTGATTCATAGATTATGATCAAGTCCCACGCGAGAGCGAGATTCCATGATAAGTTGTGAGGACGTCGCGCGCGAGAGCGCGGTTCGGAATCCCACCAGCCCTTTAGGGCGTGAGTGGTTTAGACAATTGCCTCTTCCAACCCCCGTCTTCCAATTTGGAGAGGGGCCTACCCCTCCCCCTACCCCTAGACCCGCAGAGGGAGGGCGGCGAGGTGACGGAGGGTGGTTTGGGGCTCAAGATGGCTCCAAGAGGGCATCCGAGAGCCCAAGATGATCTCCGAGATGGCCCAAGACAGTGCAGGATCGCTCAAGATGGCTTCCAACATGCTCCAAGAGACCCCAAGACAAGTCCAAGACGGATCCAAGTAGGCTAGAGGCCTCCAAAGGACCCCGCAGAGGCCAAAATCCAAAATCCCTCACAAATCTACGGAAAATATCTAATTGTGGTTCTCTCGCCATTTCGCTTCCGATGGCTTTCCACGGCCTCAAGATGGCTCCAAGAGGGCCCAGGAGTGCCGCAAGAGGGGCCCAAGATAATCCCAAGACGGCACCGAGACCGCCCAAGAGCGCCCCAAGAGGGCTCCAGGAGGGCTCCAAGAGACGACTTTGGGGGCTCCAGAGATTGGGGGCGCTAATTGAGTACACCCCCTCGCCGATCAACAAAAACGTTGAACCACACACGGGTTTCAAAGGATGATGGCTTGTCCGGTGGCATCTGTGGAAGGCCCTGGCCCCAAGAGGGCTCCGAGAGGGCCCCAGATGCTTCAAGATGGCTTTCAAGATGGCGCAAGATGGTCCAAGCTGGCTCAAGATGGCCTCCAAGAGGCCCGATGATGGTTCCAAGTGGCCGCGGAGACTCTCAAGGAGGCCCCCATGAGGCCCAAATCCGTCCCAGAAAACCTACGGAAAATCAATGATTGTCCTTCTAGCCTTAGGTCGGGCGTGTCCTCCTACAGGGGGACTTTGGACGAAAATTCGAAAGATTCGAAACATGTTCAAAAGTGCTCCAAAATGCTCTCTCTCTCTATATATATACACACCTTAAATTTGTAGATGTAAGAAACATGCAAAAAAAAAACGAAAAGAAAAAAACGACTATGTTTTGACTATTTTTGAATATTCCTTCTGTAGAGGGACGTGCCCGACTTCATTCTAGCCCTTTCGCTTCCTTATGGGTTCCCGAGGCCTCAAGATGGCTCCAAGAGAGCTCAAGAGAGCCCCAAGAGAGACCCAAGATGGCCTCAAGACGGCTCCAAGAGCGCCCAAGAGCGATCCGAGAGGGCCCAAGAGGGACCCCCCCTGTTTGATCGATATCCTCCTAGATGTTCTCAAGAAGGCCTCCAAAGCCCCCAAGAGGGCCCCAAGAGGGCCCCAAGATGAACCCAAGAGGCGCCCAAGCGGCCCCAAGAAGCCCCAAAGACGCCCCCAAGAGGTTCCCAAGCGGCCCCCAAGAAGCCCCAAGAGGCCTTTAGAAGCACCCAAGACGCCCAAAGAGGCCCCCGAGACCGCCAAGAGACCCCCAAGACGCCCCAAGAGGCCTCGAAGAGGACTCTGGCCCTTCTGCTCGCCCTCCTCCTCTTCCTTCTCCTCCTCCTCCTCCGCCGCCTCCTCCTCCTCCTCCTCATCCTCCTCCTCCTCCTCCTCCTCCTCCTCCTCCTCCTCCTCATCATCATCATCATCATCATCATCATCATCATCATCATCATCATCATCATCATCATCATCATCATCATCATCATCATCCTATTCCTTCTCTTCCTCGCTCCTCTTTCCTCCGTCTTCCCCTTCTTGGGGTATGACGGCGTCCCAAGCCCTTTACTCCACTGCATGCTCCTCCGCATCCCTGATTAGGGCAACTCGCCTGGGCATCGTTTTTGGATGGGATGGTGGGGGTACTTTCTTGATCGCAAGCTCACCGGGAGACGCCGGACGCCGTCCAAAGGTCGCAGCGAGCGGGCTACGAGCGACTTGCGCACCGGGAGGGGGGCGGGATGGTGGGGTTACATTTTTGATCGCAAGCGCACCGGGGGACGCCGGACGCCGTCCAAGAGTCGCAGCAAGCGGGCTACGCACGAATTGATGGTGGGGTTACGCGAAGCGTCCAGAATAAATTGTGAAGAACTATCAAGCGGGAGCCGTTGTTGTTGCAACCAGGGGCCAGGGGCACAGCCTAAAAAACAGGGAGCGAGCACCGGGAGGGGCACTTCCATTGAAAAAACAGTGGGCGCCGGAGAAGGGGGATCAGCAGTGATGATTCTGTAGGAGGCGAGAGTTTAGCAACAACAGCGGCGAAAACAAAACATCATGCCCAGCGCTCTCAAGAGCAACCGAGCAAGCCGTCGCCCTACGTTAGCACCTGCTGGGAGAGACCTGCCGCTTGGATCCGAGCTGCTGGGCCACTGCGTGCGGGCCACGTGGTCGACTCTCGCCTGGTGTTCTGCTGGCGGTTCCCCTGCTGCGTCGTCGTCGTCGTCGCCGCCGTCGCCGTCGCCGTCGCTGTCGCCGTCGCCGTCGCCGTCGCCGTCCTCGTCGTCGTCTGTTCGCCTGATCTTCGTCGTCGTCCGTCGTCGTCGTCCGTCGTCGTCGTCATCGTCCGCCGTCCGTCGTCCGTCGTCGTCGCCGCCGCCTGCGATGCCGCCCGCCATCAGCACAGGCCGTTGGCCCTCTCGGGGGCTGCTTGGGCTGTCTTGGGGCAATCTCGGGGGCTTCTTGAGACGTCTTGGACGCTGTGTAGACCCAAACAATGACTATCCTGGAAATGTGCGCCTTCTTCCGGGAATTGGGTGACTGTTGCTTCTGGGGGCCATTTGGGGTGTCCTCTTGGAGCCATCTTGGGGCGTCTGGGCGGCTTTTTTGGGGGCCGTCCTGAGGCCATATCGTGTGTCTTTGAGGCCTCCTTGGCGCGTTCGGGCCCCGCTTGCGACGAGCCGGCCCCGCCGGAAGCCGTCTCTCCAGAGGAGCACGAGAGCAGCATGCGCACGGCTTCGCGGAGCGCCGTGCGGACGCTTCTCGGGCCCCCGAGGCGCCGCCACAGGGGGGCCCCGCGGCGAGCCACGCAGTCCGCGCGGCCCTCCGAGAAACGGTGTGCGCATGTCGGTTTCTGTGCTGCGGGCCTCGCCGCTCCCCCACGAGAAGGCCGGCGATCGGCACGTTCGCACGAGGAGCCCAGACACAGGAGAAGGCAGGGCGTGCGAGCGTGGAGCACCTACACAACATTGAGAGCGCTGTTCGTGCGGCCAGCTTGTGCCGACGTGCAGCATGTGCGCATGCCTAGATCTGACGCTTAGGCCCTGGGAGAGCACGCTTTAGCCAATAGCCTACGCCCCAGCCCTGAGAAGGCGCGCTCCAGCCTATAGTCTACAGCCTGCATGTCGAACTATAGCCTGCGCTAGGCACGTGGCACCAAGACTCAAAATGATCCACGGCCAACCTGTAGGCCTCCCAGATACTCCAAATGCCGTGTTACGAAATACGAAGCAATCCCTGCACAGGGAAAGGACTGTGTAGGAGGGATGTTGCTCGTGGATCGAGAAAGCGGTGCCTGGGAGAGCGGGTAGCCAGGACGCAGACCGGAGAAGGGGATAACAGAGGGGGCGAGGGCGGGAAGAGCTTCGCATGGCTTTTTCTAAGGCGTCTCATACCAGAGGACGAATCTTCAGCAGCACCCCCACGCATCCTCTCCGCAACGAAAAGAACATTGATGAATAGCTGGGAACGGGGTGCCAGCACATGCAGCGCCTCCGCCTTACGGTCTTCGAGCGAAAGGCCAAGGGTCCTGTTGGCCTGTGGTGCACGCGTGCGCCCCTTCAAAACACCTGCCTGGGCACTCCCTCGGGTCTGTCCCCCTACAGCAGGATTTTGTGCGAAACAAATACCCCCAAAAATGCCCCCAAATGGTCAAACAATACTCAAAAAATCGTCCCCTAACTATTTTGTTATACTATTTTTCAATCTTCTCCCTGTAGAGTTACGTGGGGCGCGTCCCCCTACGGGGGGGGTTCGACGAAAAATAAAAAATAATCAGAAAATAATCAAATTATGCCAAAAATATTCAAAAAATAGCACCCGGACTACATTTTACTATGTTTGAAGATTCCCTCTGTAGAGGGACAGGCCCGACTTACAAGTAGCCATCCCGAGAGAGAGAAGGAGGTGCTCCCGGGGTGCTCCCGGGGGTGGTGACCCCAGGGGAGGCAGACGCACCAAGGCCCCAAACAACGGCAGAAGAAGAAAAAAAACGCCACGAACACAAACTCTTGGCGCGCTCCGCGCGGATTTCTTGGGCCCACGCTGGACCCCCCTCCCTGGCGCGCGGAGCGCGCCGGGGGGGTGCCCAGCGCGGAGCCAAGAGATCTGCGCGGAGCGCCAAAAAAGCTTATCTTTGTCAGCGCTTGTCCTCCATCGAGACAGGCGAGGTGTCGGCCTGAAGAGCAGCCAGCTTGTGCAGGCGCATGGACGAGCCCTCTCGCCGTTCACAGCGGGCGCCGCCCACACAGCCTCCACGGCAGCCTGATCCTGAGCGTCTGCGTCTTCCTGATCAACTTCGCCAGGCCCTTGCAGACCTCCGCGGGCAGCTCCAGGGCCGCCCCGAGAGGCAGGTACTCCCGGAGGCAAAAGATCCTCGGTGCAGCGTCGCCGCTCCCGGCCGAGCCTGCCGGGTCGTAGCCAATCTCGAGCACCTTGCTGAGCTCGTCGACACGCAGCGAGAGGCCCGAGAGAGACCAGCACGCGGGCAGCTTCAGCCGAAGAATCAAACTTCCCGCGTCCTGCGTGGAGACGTTGGCCGGCTCCAGACGGGTACTGCTCAAGCACGGCAGGCGGCCACCCGCAGCCGCATCGAGCCCCAGGCATGTGCTCGGCGGTCCCGCCGGCCTCTGGCGCTCGTCCTCGGCCCCCTGGCCCACCGTCGGGGGCTCTGCAGCCGGCTCTTCAGCCGGATCGTCGAACGCCGGCGCAACGTCAGGGCATGCTCCTTCGCGCGGGAAGCGGATCAGAACGGCGGTCATGTTGTCTCCTCCGAGGCCCTTCGTCTCACGAAGGTTGGGCGATATGCAGTCGTCCAGTAACTGCTCCAGCGTCTCTGCAGCACCCTGCTGATCGGCCGCCTGCGGCCCAACAGGCAGTCGCTTGCGGACGAAGTCCACCACCTCCAGATTGCTCTTCACATCCCAGACACCATCGCAACAGACGGTGACGAACTCGTCCTCGTGGCTGCGGTCGAAGACCGTGATGTCCGGCGTGCCCGAGATGATCTGCTCCTGCGGCCCGAGCAGCCTGTCCTTCTTGTACTCCAGGTCGCCGAGGGCCCTGGACAAGTTCAGGTTCCCGTTCACGCGCCAGACGCCGGGCGCCGAGCTCTCCACGTAGCCCCCTGCAGCCTCGATCCGACTCCGCTCCACAGGATTGTTTGGCTTGTGGTCCTCGCTCAGAGCCACCGCATCACCTCTGCGGCACAGCACGGCCCTGCTGTCCCCGGCGTTGGCCACGACGATGTGCGTGGCGGTCACGCAGCAGACGTTGGCGGTGCACCCGACGTGGCGCGGGTCGCCCTGGGTCCTGCAGGCCCCCGGGAGGACGAGGAGGAGCAAGCAGGGGAGGAAGAAGCAGGGGACCAGCGAGAGAGGGGGCGGGGCCGAGGAGGGCGGGGAGCCCGAGGTGGCGCGGGCCCCTTCTGGGGTCCTGCCGACCACAGGGCGCGGACTCCTCGCCAGGTCCGGGGGCGGGTTCGAGAGCGCCTTCAGCTCCGGCGAGACGTCGGGGTCGCGCAGCAGCTCGTCGATGCGGTGGAAAGCCTGCACGAGTGCCTCGCCCACCTGAGGGACGACGCCCTTGTCCGCCCACACCGATCCTGGCCACAGCGGCCCTGGGACCCAGATCGGCGCATACGCTCTGGAGGCCTTGCCAGGGAGACGTGCACACAGACTTGCAAAGATCATGTGGACAGATACTTGGTACCCCCGGCACCTGCCAAGTCTCGGGCTGGCAGTCGACCCCCAGGCCACGCAGCGCCGAGCACACCTCCTCGGGGAGGTGCTTGGCGCAGAACTTCGCGACCTGCTCACCGCCATGCCCATCAAAGACCCCGAACAGCGCGACGCCCTGTAGGGCTTTGTCTGGCAGCGCGGTCATACACACGTGAGCGTCCTTGAGCATCGTGAAACCGATCCCTATCCCGACTGGCGTGGCCTGGCCCCACTGGCCGAGTTACCCCCCTAGAGTCGGGCATAGGCTGTTCCTTTCTGGTTTCGAAGGCCACATCCCCAACTGGGGCCCCGGGATGGTGGGCCTCGGGAGGAGGGTGGGGAGGGAGAATAGGGGCCGGTTGAACAACACGTGGGTCCTCCATCCCCGTTCGCCAGCCCTGCATGGAGCTCGAGGACCAGGAGAGGCGCAGCGGGCCGCTCTGCGGGCCCCACTCGGAATCCTTGGCAGTGACCGGCCTGTCCAGCATCTGCCCCATGGCCTCGAGGCCGGGGGCGGGGGCCGCTGCCGTCGGGGCGCGCAGCGGCTAGCTGCTAGCCCCACCAATAGGGCTGGGCACGGCCGCGCCCCATGGGGACGGCGGCATGCCTGAGCCAGAGGCTACAGTCAAGTCGGGCGTGTCCCACTGCAGGGGGATTCTCGACGAAAAATTAAAAATGCACCAAAAAATGCTCCAAAATTGTCAAAAAATGCTCAAAAATAGTCCCCAGACTATTTCTGACTATTTTTGAATATTCCTCCTGTACAAGGACAAGCCCGACTTAAGGCTACAAGCCTTCCGCGCCAAGTCTCTCCCAGCACAGCGGACAGGCGTTGCAGTCCGCTGCGAGGTGTCCTGCGCTGGACGAGCCGCTGATCGTCACGGACACACTGCGACCCGAAAGACACGTCCTCGTTCGTCCCTTTCGAAGCAAACCCCACATCCCATCAATGTTCCATCATCCCGACCAGAAATTGCTCAAGACTGGTCCGCGAGCCCACCACACACACACAATACGGACCAATAAGTCGGCTCGCGCCAAGCCGTGGCAACAAGATGGCCCCCCAGGGCACAGCAACGCCTCAAATCCAGCTCCGCAGCGGAATGAGCAAATATCCTAAGAGAAACCTGGCCTTCTACGGACCAGTCTCGTGGGGATGGCTGCTTCGCCCTCCTCTTGCACAAGGCCCCGACACGTGGACCCAGAGGGATGAATTCGGCCGCCATGGGGTACGATCTGTGGAATGCCACTCCACGTGAGGCAACGCACGTGGTGTGCGACAAACGAGGTGCAGAGTATGGCGTGCGACTCGTGGAGTACATCTCACAGGGTGCAACCTGTGGGGCGCAACCCCTATCCTGAGCGGGGCGATCTGTGGGGTGCAAGGTATGGGGCACACCCTACAGGGCGCAACTATGGACTGAAGCCCATGGGCTGCCATCGTATGGGTGCAAGACATGGGGCACATCTGATGCGGTGCAGCCTGTGCGGGTAGAACTTGCGGCGTGTGTACTTCTGGTTGTGACCCTCTGGGGCGGATCTCATGGCCCGGACCCGCCGGTCGGGCCCGGGTGGCCCAGCCCTCTGGGCGGGGCTCTGCGGACGGGCCCCGATGGTCTGGAGGCCCTGCGGCGCCCTCGGGATCCGCCTGGATCCGCGAGGCCGTCTGGTTGAAACTCGATGGCCCTGCCAGGGCCCCGTGGCGCCCAACGCTCATCGCACGGACCCGACGGCGCCCATCTCGAGGAGCGGGCGGACTGGGCGAGCTCATCGGCAAAGGCCCAGGCAGTGCCGCCCCATCACCGAGACCTGGCAGCCTTGGCGAGGCGCATTGGAGCCCGATGCCAGCGCATGGTTGTGTTGTGTTGTGTTGTGTTGTGTTGTGTTGTGTTGTGTTGTGTTGTGTTGTGTTGTGTTGTGTTGTGTTGTGTTGTGTTGTGTTGTGTTGTGTGTTGTGTGTTGTGTGTTGTGTGTTGTGTGTGCGTGTTTGTGCGTGTGTGTGTAGGTTCGTGTGTGCGTGTGCGTGTGCGTGTGCGTGTGTGTGTGTGTGCGTGCGTGTGTGCATGCGTGTGTGCATGCGTGTGTGTGTGTGTGTGTGTGCGCGGAGTGTGGGTGGGTGGGTGGGTGTGTGGGTCTGTCTTGTGTGTGTCTATGTGTGTGCGAGCTTGTGTGTGCGTGCGTGCGTGAGTACGCTCGTGCGTGCGTGCGTGCGTAAGTGCGTGCGTGTGTGCGTGTGTGTGTGTGCGCGTGTGCGTGTGCGTGTGCGTGTGCGTGTGCGTGTGCGTGTGCGTGTGTGCTGTGCGTGTGTTGCGTGCGTGTGCGTGCGTTGTGTGTGTGTGTGCGTGTGTTGTATGTGTGCGCGTGTGTGTGCGTGTGTGCGTGCGTGTGTGTGTGTGCGTGTGTACGGGTGCGTGAGTGTGTGTGTGTGTGCGCGTGCATGCGTGTGCGTGTGTGTGTGTGTGGGTGCGTGTGTGTGTGTGTGTGCGTGCGTGCGTGCGTGCGTGCGTGCGTGCGTGGGTGTGTGGGTGTGTGTATGTGTGTGTGCGTATTTGCGTGTGTGTGTGCATGTGTGGGTATGTGCGTGTGCGTTTGCGTCTGCGTGTGCGTGTGCGTGTGCGTGTGCGTGGCGTGTGTGTGCGTGTGTGCGTGGTGTTTGAATGCGTGTGAATGCGTGTACACATGTGCGAATATGTGTGAATGTGTGTCTGCGTGTGCGTGTGCGTGTGCGTTTGCGTGTGCAGGTCCGTGCGTGCGTGCGTGTGCGTGTGGCGTGTGAATGTGTGCAAGTGTGTGCGAATGTGCGTGCGTGTATGTGTGTGTGTGTGAATGTGTGCGCTTGTGTGTGAATGTGTGTTTGCGTGTGTGCATGCGCGTGTGCGTGTGCGTGTGCGTGTACGTGTGCGTGTGCATGCGTGTGTGCGTGTGGGTGCGTGCGGTATGTGTGTGAATGTGTGAATGTGTGTTTGTGTGTGATTGTGTGAGTGTGCGTATGGATCCCGAATGTCTTTCGAAAACGATGTGTGAAGTTAGAATGCGTAGACGCCCATGTGAGTGGAGCAGGGTGCATGGAGGCCTGTGCGCGTTGAACACGATGCGCGTGGAACCCAACGTGACTTGAGCCCCATGTGTAACCTAGTGTGTGTGGGTGCGCGGTGACTTTTTCGCGGTGACTTTGGCGCTGGTTGCGCTGTGAGATGTGCAGTGGGTTACGCGGTCTGGTGGTTGCGCGGTGGCTGCGCGGCGGTTGCGAGGCGCGCGGTGGTTTGCGAGGTCGGTGGCGCAGTGGCTGCGCGGTACGTTGCGCGATGGACTGCGCGCGGGCGGCCACGGCTGCGCAGCAGTTGCTCGACGGGTTTCGCGGCAGCGGCCCTGGGGCGAGAAGGGCCCGACCCCCCCGCGGTTCAGGGGGCACCCCCACACACCACAGGCAAGAAAAACGATCGCATAAGTGGACGCACTGCTTGGACAACAAATGGGACCTCCATGGTGCGGACGCTGCCTGAGGCACTCGAAGAGGACCCCCGGTATCCGACGTCGTGGGAAACCACGCAGCGTCGCGACAAAATACGCAACTTAGAACTTCCGACCCGATCCTTCTACGGCATGTCTCAAGCCGGATCGAGTCGTGAAGGCCCTGCACCCCCATTCAAAAGATGATGAAACACGTGTGTAGGTCGTGTCGAAAAACATTCCGGGGGACCTCCCTGGGGTAGTTTGTTCGTCCCGGGCCCACGGCCCGAAAACGGCCCTCGGATGCCAAAAAACGAGGACAAACCCCAAAGGCCACGAAGACAGACAAATCGACGATCCAAGTTGCACTCGTGTTCTCCAAAGGCAATGCGGGGCCTGCGGGGGGGGGGGGGGGCGAAAACGGCGGTAGCGATTCTGCCACGGCGCCCACATCTCGAGAGCCGGGCCGGGCGGCGGGCGCCCGCGGCGCGCAGAGGCCCCGCGCCCGGCGGGCGCGCCCCTCCTGAGGAGGCAGGCGACGACCGCCAAGCGCCACCCCAGGAGGCGCAGCAGGCCCGGGCCATGCATCTACGTCGCGGGCAACCGGCGGGCCCGGGCGCGCCCGGCCAGGGGGGGGGGCGGCCAGTCAGGCCTGGAGCCGGGGGCAAGGGTGCTCGGGCATTGGCGGGCTGGCGCCCACAAGAACCTTTCCCCTTGTCTTGCGGATGCCACGACAATGGGCACCCTAACAGTCCTGTCCTTGAATCCACAATGTGTTTGAAATGTCGGCCAATGTTCTAAGCATGGTATGAACATGTTGTTGTACATGCTTAAAACGTGTTTAACACATGTTTCAGACATCTGCAAACTATTTGGCAGCATGCCTCCTCTCCATTGATCGTCCTCCACAACCCTTGTCGTCCTGGCCCGCTTCCTCTTCCTCCCCCGCCTCAGACACTGAGGCACTGGCGGCATGGAAATTCGACGAACGTTGCCATCCCCCCGCGGAGCCCCGGTCGAACCTGGGGGGCTGGTACGATTCAGGGCAATGCGACTCCTGGAGCGCTCGCTCCAGGAGGCGCCGGCACGTTGGGACTACACACGAGATAAAAACAGACAGACGGAAGGGAGGGAGAAAGAGGAGAGAGGACAAAACATACCTCAGGAGAAGATGAGGAGGCGGCGGCGGCAAAAGGGCAGTGCAGGTGCGAGCGCAGGAGCAGCTCTGCGGCGGGGGTCCACGCCCAAGTGGAAGGCGCAGGGGCTCTCTCCCCCTGCTCCTGAGAGCCCCCCCCGCCCCCAGGCGCCCCCCTGTCCAACGACGGAGGCCCTCACCTGCAAGCCGGCGTGGGGCTCCCAGTGCGTGGGAACGGGGTCCGCCTGGGGTGGGTTCACGGAGCGTGGGGGAGGCTTGCGCCTTCCGCGGCGGCGGCCTGCCCAGCAAAGGCCACCCGCCCACCCAGTTGCACCACCCCGAACTTCCATGTGGAAGCCACGAGAGGCGGCGCGCACCGCTGTAGGCGGCACTAGAAGGGTAGCACGGGGCTGCAGTCGGTAGCGAGACGGCGAAGGTGACTGGTAGGGTGGCGAAGCCGCCGCTGCTGTGGCCCCATGCTGGAGCTGGTGAAGCTAGTGCAGGGCGGCGACGGTGAGACCCCTGCGGGGGAATGCTGGGAGGAGTGCGCTGTGGATACTGGCGTTGCCGGCTGCACTTGGCCAGCGACGTGTCTACCAGCTGCTGCGTTCCCTGTCCCGACCCACCCCGAACCCCATAAAAACCACCACCACCAACCTCCATGTAAGCCGCGGGGGGCGGTACGCTCAGCTGTAGAAGGCACTCGAAGGGTAGCACGGGGTTGTATTCGGTAGCGAGACGGCGAGGGTGACTGGCAGGGTGGCGAGGCCGACGCTGCTGTAAGCCTCCTGCTGAGGCTGATGAAGCTAGTGCGGAGTCGCAACGGTGACACTCCTGCGGGGGAACGCTGAGAAAAGTGCGCTGTGGATACTGGCGTCGCTGAGTGTTATGACCAACGCCATGTCTGCCGGC